CAGCATTAGACGAGTCACGGTTCCTTGCTTGCAAGGTTTCCATCATTTCTTTAGCAGTGCAGTCAGCTGGCAAACTACTTTTCAAATGGTCCTTAATGGATCGCTTCATCAGTAACAAGCAAATCCTATTGCTCTTTGCCCAGGCGGCACTCAGTGCCTTTTCCATATCCGTACTTTCAGCAGTGACATCTGCTGGCTTATCCTCAGTAAGAGCAATATGAATATCTGCCAGCTCCATACCAAACAGAAAATCATCTTTCCATTTCTTAAAGTTTGAACCAGTAAGAACCTCAATACTTATGGAGTTGCCGTTCAGGGAGAAGGTGACTGTTAAAAACAAGCAATATCTATAATCAGTATCATGTGAGTACTTTCCTGAGAGTTACACATATCATCATATAATCACCTTTGGGCAGAATACATGACATGCAATTGTATACCCTCTACATGACAACGGCCATGAGAATGTATTCCAATCTTTTATGAATTCACCACCTTTGGGTGTATGAACCACTAGGATCAGTCATTCCTCACGCATGCTGTACATGCATCCCTCCATGAACCAATACATAATCACCTCCTTTGGGAGTATGACAACACATTAGAACAGGAGACATCCTAACAATACGAGACTGATATTTCTCAAACTCAATTAAGTGTGCCACTTTGGCGGTCACTACCAAATTGAATCATTGAAACTCTCTCATACTAAGGATATAAACTTTATGTCTCACATATACTATATAGATGTAATTCTAGACTGGAAGACATGGGCAATGTCTCTAAAATTACATACCATGCTAATTACATTGCTCTATACATTGATATATGTCGAACCTTATACATACTATCAATGATACATGATCTACATGTCCTTATGTCATCATATACATGTAAGCTTTAATCTGTATCTCTTAAACCAACAGGAAAATACGAAAATATACCCTAAAAATACGCGTATATAGGGTTCCATATGTATTTTCACATCCTTAAAAGTATCAAACATGTAAAATAAATATACCACAGTGTAGATAATCCTTATACGAGCACGCCGGTACCTTTCACGCTCCAAACGGAGGCCGGACGCACCCTCACGCGCCTCCTGAAGGTGCGGCGCGTGGGCCTCACGCGCCGGCGCCTAAACCGGCCAAAAAGGCCGGTCCGACCGGTCTGACCGCCGACTGGTCTGACCGCTTACCGGTCCGACCGGTTGACCGGTTTGGTCAATCGGTCGGATCCGGGTCGGGTCAATCCCCGGGTCGGGGTCAACGGGTCGGACCCTGGGTTGGGTCAACGGGTCGGGTCTGGGTCGGGTCCGGAGTCGGGTCGGGTCAGCCGGATCAACCCGGCTCGCGGAAACCCTAGCGCGTGCCTTGCACGCGCCTGGGAACACCCGCGCGTGTGCCGCCAGGGCTCTCCGACGCCCCGGCGCGTGGCGGCGCGTGCGGCCACTCCCGGCGGCCCCTGGTGGCCGGCGACCACTCAAAATGCTCGTCTCGCGACGATCTATCCATCTATGTGATTTATTCTAACATTTATCCGATGAAAAAATCGAAATCACATACGAACAGTTCCGGCCCGTTTCTCGACTATGGCGGCTCTGATACCACATGTTGGCCGGCCCGTATGGCTCGGCCGAGCGCCCTAGGATCACCATAGCGAGATATTAACGGTACGGTAAAAGGATGGATTGAATTTGTGCACCTGTTTTGGATTCCATCGGCCTGGATGCGGAAATGACGATGAACCGGTGCCGTAGGTCTTCTCCCCTGTCACCCCCGAAGTCCCGGCGCTATGAGACCGCCTCAGCCAACTCACGTAAGCCGTAGGTGAGTTTGAGAGCGATTGGAGAGAGTTAGGTGCAGAGGAGGGACCTGCAGCTCTATTTATAGAGTTTCCAGCCAGGCCCTCTCATAACGGGCCGGGCCGAACTCGGCCCACACAAGCCGAGCCCATATCTGACCAATTAAGAATCCTTGTATCCAAACTTATTAGACCAGACCCGTAAGCGGGTAATAACAATCTCAATTAATGTAACCCACATTAGGAAAATGTTACAAAAGCATCATCAGAGCATTAATAAAGAATTACACAAACTTCTTTTTAGAACAAAAATAATAAGTAAAATATGAGCAGGTATTTATATGATAATATCAAAAGTATGATTAAGACATAACAAAATGATGAAGAGTATCAACCTATTGAGAATTACCTCGCAGCATGAAACACTCACGTTTATGTAAAGCAAACGTCTCAATCGGACGTCGGATCTTTGCACAAATCACCATGTGTTTGTGGCCAAGAAAGGAGAAAATTATCCAAACAAATCTTAAACTTATTGCACTTTTATCAATTCAGTCTTAAACTTATTAACTTTTCCAATTGAGTCATAAACATTTTTACATTTTGCAAAAAAAAAAGGAAAAAATTGAAAAAATATTAAATTATTATTAAAAATTATCTACGTCAGCGCCGGCCGTGTCACATAAGACGCCCGATATCCACGTCAGTGGTTTCCGGCCAAATTAGCCAAATTGACTCAATTGGAAAAACGTAAAAATGTTTAGGACTCAATTGAAAAAATTAAAAGGTTTAGGGTCGATACCACGAAAAATCTTAAACTGATACACGTGATAAATTTACTTAAAACTAATTTTTTAGCACGAAAAACCCCAAACTGGTACACCTGTGACAATTTTACCCTCCATTAGTTTCCGTTAAATTTTACCGTCCAATTTCTGAGTTGAATGACAAATGACGGTTGACGAGTGTACTAATTTGGGGTTTTACCCTACGTTTATCACAGGTGTACCGGTTTGGGGATTTTTCGTGGTATTAATTCAATTTAATGGAGGGTAAATTTGTCACAAATGTAATAGTTTAGGGTTTTTTGTGATCAAAAAATTAGTTTAAGGTAAATTTATCACAGATGTACCAGTTTATAATTTTTTATAGTTAATAAAATTAATTTTGGGTAAATTTGTCATAAGTGTATCCGTTTGGAATTTTCGTGGTATATATTTAAAGATTTATGACTGAATTGATAAAAATATAATATATTTAGCAAATTTTGCTGCCAAGAAAGTCCCGCTTGGAAACTTCACCGGGTGTGACCTTAAAGACATCGTTTTTATGCGGCCATAAGATGATAATCCCCTTCTTTTGTCCTCTTGCGGCTTTCTTCAAAGAGCTCACTGTTTTGTTCTCTCTTGTGCGGCTCCATGAACGAGAGCCCACCGTGCGGCAATCAATAAAGAAAGTAAAAGCTGAAGTTGGGATTCTTTCTTTATTCTGTCAACCTTGGAGATTTATCTCCGACAAATAACAAACATACTTGTGAATTTGTGTGGCCTTCAATAAAAGAAATTCTAATTCAATTAAGAAAGCGATCTGTTGGGATTTCTTTTATTTTCTAATGGATTTAGTTTAGCAAAATGATCTGCATTCTCCAATCGGATCGGGTTTGATACACAAGCTCATATTTGAGAAATAATATATTAATAATTTGCACATTGGCTCGATGTTTGCAGCCAAATCACAGTGTTTATCAATCATGTTAGCTCTCCCAATGCTCCGACAACCGCTTAACTATCGCAGACGTCTATCAAGCCCAAGCAGAGCTTGAACTTGTTTGGAAGAATGAACTCGATCCACATGTCCATAGGATTCTCTGACGCAAGAAACTTCTTGGTTTCTCTCCTGACATGCTACATCTGACACAGAAATTTCCGTCACTAATGAACTCGATACTCTAGTGATATCTCTTATTTCTATCGAACACCACATCAACCAGATTTCTCATGTCAACATCATTAATCAAGGCATTAGACCACACCACCTCTTCAACTCCTTTCGTTGTTGCCATGTCTCTATTCTCAATCATTAACGAAACCATAGTGTCTCCCAACGATGCCTTCCAACTCATAGCACAACTAACAGAAGTAAAGGCATAACTACTTAGATTTACCTTCTTTTAGGTTCTTTGCAAGAACCGGTTCATAAACCTAGTTACAGCCACACTACCTAAATGACATCCTTTGAAACATGTGCCACCATTTGTCATCCTCAGTAAAATCAGGAGGATCCACCTGACAACATCACAATTTATACCTGGATTAATAGTATACAATCTCTTGATTGCATGTGATAGATCAAACCTAGTACTATCCTTGGCATAACTCAAACAACCAACAATACTAACATGCGAAGCATGAGACAAGTGCTCCACCTCCATCCAAGTATACAATGACATATTAGACAATTTATAATGTGCAGTAAACGGGATACTTACAGAATTTTTCAATTACATGTTGGAGTACCTTGACGTTTTTCCGATGCGACTCTTCTGAGTCACTCGCAACATTCCAGTAGTCTCTTTATACACCTCTATACCAGAAGCTGTCTCTACTACACCCAAACTTTTCTATTTCAATATCTGTGTACTATTATTGCTCTATCTCATCCACCTTCGTTGACCATCTCGAAGCTTCATCAATCATGATATCGGAACATCTGTTAACTACTATGGAATCTAGTGACTCTATAGACACTGTCACATTTATTGTACTCTGAATATCTCTAGATCCTACCTGAAGCTCCAACTGTTTTTGAATACCTTCCAAATCATTCTCCACAATTGATCTCTCACTCCACCTTTGAAACAAAGTAGATTCATCAAAGGTAACATCTCTGTTGAACATAAAACTGGGTGAATCCTCCTCAATGCACCACAACTCGTATCCCTTCACCTCATTTGCATAACCTAGGAATATGCACTTTCTTACCTTCGGCTCTAGCATGCCATCACTCACACAATCATAAATAGGGAAACCAAACACTCTTAGTCTAGTATAATCAGCAGACTTACCTGACTATGTTTCCTCAAGAATTTTCCAATCAATTGTTAGTGATGACTAATCTGTCCACTAACCAAAAAGTGGAATTTAATACTTCAGCCCAGAAACCTTCATCTAATCTAGCATTGAAGCGTAAAGAGCGAGTTCTCTCCAATATAATTCTGGTCATCATTCCTGCCACTCCGTTTAGCTGTGGTGTGTCAGCTACAATGCGGTGTTTTACTATATTTTCCTATGTGCAAAACTGGCAAAGCTCATTATAATAGAATTCCAACCATTTATCAGTTCTCATGAACATGATCTTTCTTTCTATCTGCTTTGATCATCGCCTTCCATGACTTAAACCGACCAAGCACCTCACTCTTGTGCTTAAGAAAATAAATCAAGAATTTCCTTCAAACGTCCTCAACAAAGGACAACAAATACCTAGCACCACCTTCGGATCGAAGGGTACCCATAAGTCTGAATATACACAGCCCACAATTTATGAGGTATGGTGAAGTGCAGTACTGAACTTCACTCACTGCTGACTACCCATGTCTTAGTGTTCACAAAAGTTTAGTTTCTCAATCTAATGACCTCCTAGTGGACCCCTCTAACTCAGAATAATCATCTCCCTCTCATTCATGTGTCCAAGTCTCAAATGATCCGGCAGTCCAACTGCTTGACACACTTCGGCAAGCTTGAATAAGGGAGGTGCGTAGAGAGGAGCCTCGGTTCCTCCATGTCATCAAGATCGAATCTCGGGTTATGCACGAACAAGTCAAACTCGAAGCAAGGGATGAGTTCATGGGGGCTTGAAGTGAGCGAGGGCATGTTTGAGACGTCGAAGCGGGAGCGATTGACAATGGAGAATGCTATGGCCATTAGCCAGGTGCTCCCCAATTTGGGGTCAGAGGCAACAACAATGTCTTTGTCTTTGGCCTTGAAGTGCCTCTGGAACGCGACCACATTAGGAAGCACGAAGATCGGGCACCAAAAGTTTTGGAAAAGGCAACAAGGAGGAAGGCTTGGAACTTTCTCTTGGGGAAGTGAAGCAATCAGCTCATCAATGCCCTGCTGCTCGCCTTCTCCCATTCCCATGGTGTTTCCGGAGCGAAACTCTCAATGGTTTTCATATCCTTTTTCACTGTTTTATAATTGTTGCATACCCCCAATCACATGAAAAAAAAACGACATTATGAGCCCCATGTGAGATTATTATGATCGAATGGCTGAGATAAAAAGTCCCAATTGTACCGCATTCACGCAAATCTTGTCTATTGACTTCTTGTGCATGCGCCTTAATCATGTTAAGAAAATGCACGTTTCTTTGGGGGACCTCCGGGTGCTTTATTAGCATGCTGGTTGAGTCATTGCCACATCTTTGATTGAGTAGTTGATTGGGTTTGATTTGAGATGTCTCCTGCTGCTTTTTTTTTTTCTTTTCCTTTTGGGGTCCAAAAGTGGCAATTCGATCGCTTGATGGATTCAGCAAGCATGGGTAGGGAACGGGTGAGGAGAACATCCTTGGTTCCGGGAAGTCATGAGATTGGTTCTCGGTTTATTTGCATACCAGGTGAAATCCAAAAAAGAGACAAGTTCGTGGGAATTGGAAGTGAGCAAGGACAAGTTTGAGATATTGAAGTGGAGAACACGGGCTTTTAGCCAAGCGGTTCCTGCTTTGGGCTGAGAGGCTCGAAGAATGTCCTTGTCTTTGGCTTTCAAGTGCCTCCATTGGAATGATGATGATTGGGTACCCAAAAGTTTTTGTGAAGGCATAGATTAGTAGCCAGGAACCTTCTCTCTTTGTGAAGTGCTTACACTAGAAAATTGCCAACCTTTATTATTGATGAGTGGTGAACTCAATTGCCTATACTAAGGTTTGGTCAGGATAATCAATTAATCATCAAGGCAATTGACTTGAAGAATCGACGGATCAGCAGTAAAGTCATTGACAACGAACATGGAGTAGATTATCAAGAAAGACCGTTGCCAGTCGACAAAGCTCATCACTAGTCCACTACTTCAGTTTTTTTGCCGAGTGTTTGAGTTAAAAGACAGCAATGATGTATCGACTTCAATATCAAGTGGTGGTTCCAGTACGAAGTGACAGTTGGTTATCTCGGTGATCTTGGAAGTTATAAATTTGTTTTGGATGAAAATTACTAGAGTACAAAAAGCACGTCTAAAAACTCAGGGAACGTGTAGCATCAATTGTAATTAGTGTGATAAATATTTATCTGTAAAGGCTGCGTTTGTTAACTGGATAAAAGCCAGGATAGGATATGTTTTATCATATCCTGTGTTTGGTGGTGGTCCAGGATAGGATAAGGTCAGATATAGACCGGATATAGCCCAGATAAAAAAATCCGAGGGGGGGTGGGATAGATCTGGATAGGATTTTTAATGCTTATTTTTCCAGAAACCCTATACTCCACTCGCCGTCATCTTCATCCCCACACCTTGTGCGCTTTCACCAAAAAAATTTCTCGGCTTTTTTTCCTTCACCGACTCCTCCGGACCCGTGAATAGCAAAAAAAAAAAATATATCCTATCCGACTTAAATCCGTAATCCACCAAACAGTGGATAGAATATAAAGAAATCCTAGAATTTCTTATCCTATCCTATCCAGTCCTATCCTGTTTAGAAATCCGGACAACCAAACGCAAACTGTTGTTAGCTGGGATATAAATACCGACGGTGAACTCTTGTAGTGGCGATCAATCAACCATCGATACCATAACACTATTATTTACAGTTTTAAGCCTTCGTTTATCTTCTTTAACTTTATAGTTCTTTAAATTTCATAACTTGTCTTTTACTTTCTTTTGGTATAAGCCATACAGATTTTCCATCCAAAAATCAACAAAGAACCCGTTTTCATAAAAAAAAACCAAAATCAATTTTTTCTTTTGATATAAGACATGAAGATTTTCCATCCAAAAATCAGCAAGGAACTCCTTTTCATTAAAAAAAAAAACCAAAATCAATTTTTTTGGTGAATTGTCTTTTACTTTTCGGGTGAAATATCTTTTTAGTATACACGGTGGGACCTCTATTGTTAACATGAGGAAATTGCCATGGCAAAAATATGATCAATAGGAAACCGACAATGCCGCTGGCAACAACCCATTGCCAACATGCGAGGGGGTTGTGCATTTTGAATCTTCAGCCGCTCCGGGAATGAAAGATCCTTAATTGTATGGCAAGGATTAAACTGGCATGGTAACGAAGCACCATGGATCCCCCAATGAAAGGCCTTTCGGGATTGTACCTTAATCAATCTCAAGAAAAGAAATTGATCGCTCGTGGAATTTCATGATGGGTAATGACACAAATGGTCTATAAACTTTGGCTCGATGTGCAATGTAGTCACTGAACTCTTAATTTCTTCAAGGTGGTTTCTAAACTTTAACACAATGTGCAATGTGTTCCCCGAACTTTTAATTTGTTCAATGTGCCCCATTAACTTGTGGTACATATTCAACTTAGTCCCTCAATTATATGAATAAATGGAAGGATGATATTGAACATTTTGATATAGTTGAGGGACCAAATTGAATATGTATCAAAATTTTAAGCATCACATTAAAGAAATTGAAAGTTCAAGTACCATATTGCATTTTGAGCTTCAGTTCAGAGGCCATATTGAATAAATTAAAATTTTAAAAATTATATTATATATTAAGTCAAAATTTAAAGATTATTTATGTAATTTTTTCAGGACGATTGGGACAGCGGGTTGGCATTTAATTGTCCGTTAATTGGTGACATGACTACTTGGTCGGTACATTGATTGCCTTCTATCGGGACTACCGGCAACGGTGGGTCCATATCAAATTGCTGTGGCTTTCGTTGTCTGGTTTACGTGAAGCGACCATAGCCATACATTGGAGCTAAGTGAGCTACTCATATTTGAGGGCCCATCAAGAAATAGCTGCAAGGTGTCGAAATAATCTTGCTAGGCCTATTTTAAGAGGTATATTATTGTCTCGACAAACTTCACTTTCTTTTTCTTTCCTCACTCTTTATGTCCAACAAGACTCAAGATTTGGTGTATCGTGATGATTAATCGTTCGTTCACGCTTTGTGGAATTTTGGTGCATTTCCAATGTGGAATTTATATCTTAAACTTTGTGCCATATTGTTTCACATGTTTTAGGCTATATATGACAATCATTCTGTGCCGAAAAATAGATTCTGGGCAAAAATAATTCTTTTTGATTCCGTGCCCGGAAATTTCTAAGCATTTGAAGACATTTAGTAACTGCCCAAAATTTTTGTTCTTAAAATAGAAAAAAACAGAAATGTGTTTAGTAACTACACAAAATTTCTTTTTATTAAAATATTTTGAATTTTTTAATATCTTTCTTTTTTTTCCTTTTTTTTTTTTCTTTTTTTCCCCTCCCTTCACTGGCCATGGCCGGCTGCTGGAGCCGGTGACCAGCCACAGGCTAGGGCCGACGAGGGTGTCGCGGCCCTTGCCGCCGCCCTCGCCGGTTGTGATGGCAAGGTCGGCCTCGCCTTGGCTGGGCGAGGCTTGACCTCGCCGAGATCTGGCAAGGCCAATCTCGCCGTCGCCAACCCAAGCGACGGCGAGGTCGGCCTCGCCAACCCAGGCGACGACGAGGACGACCTCAGTGTCGCCACCCAGGTCCATCGCCTGGGTGGCGACGACGAGGCCGGCCTCGCCTTGGCTGGGCGAGGCTCGACCTCGCCCAGATCTGGCAAGGCCGACCTCGCCGTCGCAAGGGTTGGTGACGGCGAGGCCTCGCCCAGGAAAGGCGAGGCCAGCCTCGCCGTCACCACCCAGGTGACGGACCTGGATGGCGACGGCGAGGTCGGCCTCGCCATCGCAGTTGCGAGCCGCCGTTGCCCAAGCGGCAAGGGGGACCCTTGCCGGTCATGATGCCCTCACCGGCCCTAGCCTGTGGCCGGCGGGGCCAAAGAACAACAACAAATAAAAATAAAAGAAGAAAATCAAGAAGAATCAATTCTGGAAAAATTGTTCCAAAATCAATAAGCTACTTTTTTTTACTTCTTGATTCTGTTCCAAAACTGATTCTGAACACAATTTTTTGCAAAATTCTGCCCGGGCACAAAAAATTTAACAAATGGATTTCTATTTCAAAAGTGATTCTGGAAACAAAAGAACAGAATTAGTTACTATTTGGTAAGTTGTCAAATGCACTTGTTGACACCCGAAATTAATTAGAGATTTCATCGTGAGGATATATGTATAAAAGGACAAGAGATGACATCACCCGTACTAAAATGGCAGCTGGTAGGTACGGACAGTCATAAGCGGGAAATTTGAAATTCAGATAGAGGGGGATGAAAAATACTGAAGGTATTTTCGTCAAAGATATCAACAAAGGAGAAGACGGAGAAGAGCTATAAAAGATTCGATGAAAGCCTTTGCTCCAGAAAAGACAGATGTCCAAGTGCTAAAAGTGCTTCTCATCGATGAAATCGATGAAAAGGGTGATGGATGTTAAGTCAGAAAAGCTCGATGAAGGTCCTTATCTCTGTTGAATAAGTGCCAGACGGAGAAAAGCTATAAAAGATTCGATGAGAGCCTTTGCTCCAGAAAAGACAGATGTCCAAGTGCTAAAAGTGCTTCTCATCGATTAAATCGATGAAAAGGGTGATGGATGTTAAGTCAGAAAGCCTCGACGAAGGTCCTCATTTCCAATGGACAGGTGTTAAGCGGAGGAAAGACTCGATCACGGTTATCATCCCGAAAGACATGTGTCAAACGGAGAAAAGGTTCGATGACGGTTATCATCCCGAAAGATAGGTGTCAAACGGAGAAAAGGTTCGATGACGGTTATCATCCCGAAAGACAGGTGTCAAACGGAGGAAAGGTTCGATGACGATTATCATCCCGAGAGACAGGTGTCAAACAGAGGAAAGGTTCGATGACGGTTATCATCCCGAAAGACAGGTGTCAAACGGAGGAAAGGTTCGATGACAGTTGTCATCCCGAAAGATAGGTGTCAAGCGAAGGAAAAGCTTGATGACGGTTATCATCCCAAGAGATAGATGTCAAGCGGAAGAGAGGTTCGATGATGGTTATCATCCCATGACAGGTGTTAAGCGGAGAAAAGTTCGATGACGGTTGTTGCCTTAGAGAACCAATGGGCTCGATGACGGTTGTCGTTTTCAGAGACTAAATAGGCTCAAAAGCAATTATCATTTCATA